GACAGAGGGAGAGAGTACTAGGAAAAAAAACATCAGGATTGGTGGAGCATTTCTGGGACTGGCTAGAAACCTAGGACAATAGAAGGTCCCAGGAATCTATGAAGGAGGCCCTAGCTAAGACTCCTAGCAATGGGGAATATGGAACCGTAACTGGCCATCTCCTGTTAACCAGGCGATACTTCCAATGAAAGGATTGTGACACCAACCCAGCTACGAAACCATAGACACACAATTTGTCTTGTCTGCAAAATGTTCAGGGGGAAAAGACAGAATAGAATTTGAGGGAAAGGCCAACCAATGATTGACCCAGCCTGAGATGTATGGCATGAAAGAGAGACCATTCCTGATACTATTAATGCTATTCTGCCATACTTGTAGTCAGGAATCTTGAAGAGATGCTTCTCTCAGCAGCTGATAGAAATGGATGTAAAGACTCATAGCTAAACATGAATTGTAGCTTTGGGACTACTATGGAAGAGGGGTAAGGAGGGCTGAAGGATCCAGAGGGCTCAAAGATACCACAAGAAAACCTACAGAATCAACTAATCTAGGCTCCTAGGGGGCTCATAAAGCCTGAACTGCCAAGCAGAGAGCATTCGTGAATAGACCTAGGCCTGCTGCAAATATGTAACTCTGTGTAGCTGGGTCTTCATGTGGGACTCTTATAGGGGGATCAGGGGCTATCTCTGACTACATTGCCTGTCTCACCCCAAATTAGGGTGCCTTCTCTAGCCTGAAGATAAGAAGATGCACCTAGTATTACTGATGTGGCAAGGCTAGTTGATATCCAGGAGACATCCACTTTTCTGAAGAGAAGGGAGGAATGGTGGATGTGGGTGGGAGGTGAGAGGGCAGGAATGAGAGGCGAAGAGGTAAGGGATGCTGAGATTGGGATATAAAGTAAATAAATAACTTAATTAGTTAATTAATTAGAAGAAGAGATAAAGAATTGCCATGGTCATTGTGTGATGCTTTGTCTTCGAAGCAAGAGAACACTGGCTAGGACAATATCTAGAAACAATCAAAGTGTTTATTTTCTTTCTATAATGAAATGTAAAGTGTTTTTTTATCCGTGTGCATATGTGTGCACCTACATTAGTTTATGTGCTTTCTTGAGGCCAAAGAGCATCAATCAGCTGGCAATTGGAGCTATAGACAGTTGTTAACTATCTGATATCAGTGCTAGGAACTGAGCTTATATGCTTTGCAAGAGTAGTGAGAGCTCTTATCTGTCAAACTTCCTCTCCAGCTTTTAGACAATAAATATTTAAAATAAGAAATATTTTAACTAATAAATTCTTTCATGAAAGAACATATCCTAAAAGAATACATTTTTTATTCCAGATATTAGTAGTCATAATAACTAAAAATAATCTACTGTACATGTTTGTGAAGTCAAGAGAATAAGTCAGAGCTTGTTTTCTGTTTCATTTGCTCCTGTAAGTGTTCACACTTTCTCTGTCTTCCTCTTCCCCTTCCCCTTCCCCTTCTTCTTCTTCTTCTTCTTCTTCTTCTTCTTCTTCTTCTTCTTCTTCTTCTTCTTCTTCTTCTTCTTCTCCTTCTTCTTCTTCCACTTTGCAATGCCTCAGGGTACATTATGCCATCTTTGCACAGCCTCCAGTAAAGCACAGTGTAACTTTTTCATTCGGTTTTCCTTCTCTGGTATCAAATACACAGTAGGAGTCTTATCTTTATAACTTCTTCTCTTTTGATATCAAAAATAGTAGTGTTTGAGCAGAGTCTGTAGGCACAAATTTAATTCATTTTTCTCCCTTCATTATACATGAAATCTGCTATAAGATTATGGTAATATCCAGAGAACTGAAAAAAAAAATACATATACCCTCCCAGTGAAGAAGACACAGGCTCCCGAGAGCCAGACAAAAAGAAAAAAAAAAAGAAGCAAACAAACAAAAAGGAGAGAAGAAAGAAAGAAAGAAAGAAAGAAAGAAAGAAAGAAAGAAAGAAAGAGGTAAAGAGAGAGGAAAGAGGAAGGCAAAGAAGGATAGAGGGAAGAAAGCAAGGAAGGGAGGAAGGAAGGAAAGAAAGAAAGAAAGAAAGAAAGAAAGAAAGAAAGAAAGAAAACAGAAAAAGAAAGAAAGAAAGAAAGAAAGAGAGAAAGAAAGAAAGAAAGAAAGAAAACAGAAAAACAAAGAAAGGAAGAAAGAAACCAAGAAAGAGTCAGATGAGCTAGGTTCCTGGCACTGCTTCTGAAGAGGGTGCCTGCAGTTTTCTTGAAACACAACCAGAGTTTTAAATTTTATTTTTATTTTCTTTTTTATTTATCTTATAACCTAAGGTGCCACCTCCCTACTCTCTTCCCAGTCCTCCTCTTAAACTTTTCCCCTTCCCCTCTCCCTTTCCTTCAGAAAAGAAGTACCCTCTGCCCCCATATCAGCTTTCTCTAGCACATTAGTTCACATCAGGACTGAGCATATCTTCATTCCCTGAGTCCAGGCAAGATAGCTTTGCCAGGGGGAGAGATCTAAAAGCAGGCAATAGAGTCCATGTTTGAAGCAACACCCCCCCACACACACACTCTCAACCCATATGAAGACCAAGCCACCAATGTGCTACATGTGTGCAGGGACCCTAGGTCCAGATCATGCATTTTCCTTAGTCTCTGAAGGGCCCCATGGGACTGGGTAGTTGTCTCTGTTGGTCTTCTTTTGAGTTTCCTGATCCTCCAGGTCCTTCCATCTTTACCTTAACACTTCCACAAGATCCCTGGAACTCCACTTTATGCTTGGCTGCAAGTCCGAGCTTCTCTCTAGATTTGCTGCTGGCTGGAGCCTCCAAGACTACAGTCAAGTCAAGGCTTCTGTCTGCAAGCATAACAAAGTATCATTATTAGTGTCAAGGGATAGCTCTATATCTTTGGGTGTGTCTCAGGTTGGACCAATTTTGGGTTGGAATTTCATTCAATCTTTGTTCCTTCATTATCTCTGTACTTCTTGTAGGCCAAATTTAATAACACGGAAAAGAGATGACCGAAATGATTTATTTTTCTAGACAGTGTCTTCATAGATTAAAACACAAGATTAATGTTAAGAAAATATGCATAGCATCTGCAGCATTATATTTTTGATACAATCACTCTGCAATGTAGGTTGTCAGATTTTCACAAAGTTAAAATGTAAAAACGGTTCTTATAAAATCTATTTTCAATAATTTTGTTATTCAAACAATAGTAATTACCAAAAGTTCATGGTGGCTTTATTCTTTCTTTTAGAAAACCTTCAGAATGAACAAAGCATTTGTGCTAATTCTATGGTTAATAGCATTCTTGTGTGATAGAACACTCACCACAAACAACTTAAAAGCACCAAAAATATATCCGGCTTCACAGTTTCAGAAGTTTCCCTCGATAGCCCTTGAGTCTTTTGATTCTGAGCAGTGACTAGGGAAACGTCATAATGGTAGAGCAGGTCTATACCACATCTCTCCAGGCAACCGGAAATAAAACCATGAGAACGCGAAGGGTGTCAGGCTAACCTTCAAAGCACATTTTCAGGTATATGCTTTTTTCTTGGGCCACTTCCTAAAGTTCCATAATTTCCTAGAATACCTGAAATAGCTCTTAAAAGTTATAATTTTCAACATGTAAACCTGTGGGATACACTTCAAATTGAATATGTATCAACATCTGACCAATGAAATATTTCTTCAACATTGAAAAAGAACAGACCACAAAGGTCACAACAAGGGTAAACCTCAAATGCATTGGGCTGACAAAGGAACACAGAGCCACATATAACCACTTCATGATTCCAGCGTTTGCTCTTATTTAGGAGGAAAACAGAAAGAGTGGAATCATTCAAAACTGGTCAGTGAACAAAGGATTAATGGTGAGTGTATACATGTAATGATTTGGCTGAGATGTCGCCCACTAATTTCCAGAATTTTAGGCTTTGATCTCCAACAGGTGGACCTGTTTGAGAATGGTTAGGAGGTATGACCTTGTTGATGGAAGTATGTCACTGGAGGCAGGCTTCTCTGAGAAATCAGACACCTGGTGTCATTTCCAGAAGGTGCTCTCTTCTTCTCATGTCTAGTTGGAGATAGGAGCCTTCAGCCTGCAACTTCATTTCCCAGTCAAGCTATAAAGTGATTAAATAAATAAAGAAAAAAGTTTTCTCTAAATCATCCCATTTCATTGAAAACCTAGCTTTGGTAATTAAAAAAAGAAATTAAATAGAGTGTTTACTTGATACACCATAAAGATATGTTTCATGTCTTTCTATCACAAGAGGATTTTGTTTACTATTTCAGTTTACACAGAAAATTGTGCCTGCTATGTAACAACTATATATTGTCATAATAGTTAGAAAGATAACTGCTCCATTTGAGTCAATGTGAAACTGATTTAATAAAGTTGTTATAGCACCATGAGTTATAAATTGTCATCAATTACCACATAAGCTTTTCAATGAAAAGCTTGGAAATATGTAGTGATACAATATTTACCTCAAAATGGTACTTATACTGTAGTTTGTTTTATAAAAACGCCTAAAGAAATATTTTTCAAATTAATTAATTACAATATGTTTACAAATGTATCATATTTTATATATTAACTACATGAATTTTAATAATCAAATATACAACAAAGAGTAAGCAAGCCCATTTTTTTTTCTCTAAAGTGAATTGGAAAATTTGATTCCAGGATTTTATAAAGGTCAGGAATCATAAATGACTATGAATAAAATTTATAATTATTAAAAGTAACACTATAAGGAAAAAGAAATAAAGATTCTCAATCCTAAGAAAATGTTTCTTAAAACTTCCATTTAGAATCACTATTGTTTATTAAAAAGTAATTAAATTTATGAAGTGCTGTAATATTTTATTACTATACATGCTTTCTATCAGACTCTAAGAAACTGCTCATCCCTTTCACAATGTAATAAAACTGATTTAGGAAACAAGCAGTCATTTTTTTTTTAATTTTTATTTTTCTTTTTAGTTACAATTTTTTAACTCTGTTTCCCAGCTGTATCCCGCTCCCTCAGCACATATACTAAAATTGTAACGATGCAGAGAAGATTAGCATGGCCCTTGCACAAGCAGTCATTTTGTTCTGATGACAGTGTCCTTTGTTTACAAAAGCTTTTCAGTTTCATTAGGTCCTATTTATTGATAGTTGATCTTAGGGCCTAAGCTGTTTGTGTTCTGTTCAGGAAGTTGTCTCCTGTGCCAATGAGCTCAAGGCTCTTCCCCACTTTTTTTTCTAACATATGTAGTGTGTCTGTTTTTTTGTTTTGTTTTTCCTTACAGAAATTATATTTTATTTTCAAGGTTTTTTATTACTTTTATTAATTACAGTTTATTCACTTTGTATCCCACTTGTAGCTCCCTCTCTCTCCACCCATGCCCCTCCCCCAGTCCACTAATAAGGGAGGTCTTCCTCTCCTTCCTTCTGATCCTAGTCTATCAGGTCTCATCAGGAGTGTCTACATTGTCTTCATCTGTAGCCTAGTAAAGCTGCACCCCCCCCCACACACAGGGGCAGGTGCTCAAAGAGCAGACCAATCAGTTTATGTCAAAGACAGTCCCTGTTCCCATTAAAATGGAACCCACTCAGATATTGAATTGCCATGGGCTAGATCTGTGCAGGGGTTCTCTCTATGAATGGTCCTTTGATGGAGTATCAGTCTCAGAAAAGACCCCTGTGCCCCAATTTTTTGGTTCTGTTCCTCTCCTTGTGGAGCTCCTGTCCTCTCCAGGTCTTACTATTTCCCACTTTATAACATTCCCTGCCCTTTGCACAAAGTTTGACTATAAGTTTCAGAATCTGCTTGGATACCCTGCAGGGCAGAGTCCTTCAGGGGCCTTTCTGTGGTTTTGTGTTGAGTTCTTTGATCCACTTGGACTTTAGTTTTGTGCGGGGTGATAAATATGGATCTATTAGCAATGGATACAGAAATTGTGATACATTGACAGGATGGAATATTACTCCACAATTAAAAAACAGGAATTCTTTTGTTTTACAGAAACTTTTGAGTTTTCATGAGGTCCAATTTAGTGATTATTGATCTTAGAGCCTGTGCTGTTGGTGTTCTGTTCAGGTAGTTGTCTCCTGGGCTAATGAGATAAAAGCTCTTCCCCACTTTTTCTTCTAACAGGTTTAGTGTGTCTGGTTTTATGTTGAGGTCTTTGATACACTTGGACTTTAGTTTTGTGCACTTAGCACCATAAGTATGGATGTGTTTGCATTTTTCTACATGTACACATCCAGTTAGACCAGCATCATTTAAGTTTCTGTAAAGCAAGGGACACTGTCATCAGAACAAAATGACAGGCTATAAATTGGGAAATGATCTTCACCAACCCTATATATGCCAGAGGACTAATATCCAGAATATATAAAGAAATCAAGAAGTTAAATAACAACAAATCAAGTAATCCAATTTAAAAATTGGGTACAGAGCTAAATGGATAATTCTCAATAGAGGAATATAGAATGGCAGAGAAACGCTTAAAGAAATGCACAACCTCCTTTGTCATCAGGGAAATGCAAATCACAAAAACCCTGAGATTTCACCTTACACCCATGAGAATGGCTAAGATCAAGAACTCAGGTGTCAATACATGCTGGGGAGGATGTGGAGAAAAGGGAACCATTCTCCATTGCTGGTGGAATGTAAACTTGTACAACCACTTTGGAAATCAATTTGGTGTTATCTCAGATAAGTAGGAATAGTGCTAACTCAAGATCCAGCCATGCCACTCCTAGGCATATATCCAAAATATGCTCAAGTACACAACAAATACATTTGCTCAACCATGATCATAGCAGCTTTACTTGTGAAAGCCAGAATTGGAAACAACCCAGATGTTGCTCAACTGAGGAATGGATACAGAAATTGTAGTACATTTACACAATGGAATACTACTCAGTAATTAAAAACAAGGAAATCATGAAATTTGCAGGCAAATGGTGGCAACTAGAAAAGATCATCCTGAGTGAGGTAACCCAGAAGGAGAAAGACACACATGGTATATTCTCACTTATAATTGGATATTAGACATAATATAGGATATTCATACTAAAATCTGTACACCTAAAGAAGTTAAGCAAGAAAGAGGACACTAGGTTAGATGCTCAATCTTCATTCAGAAAAGCAAATGGGATAGACATTGGGAGAAGGTGAAAAAAAGGAACAAAACAGGAGCCTACCACAGAGGGCCTCTGAAAGACTCTGCCCAGCAGGGTATCGAAGCAAATGTTGAGACTCACAGCCAAACTTTGGGCAGAGTGCAGGGAATCTTATGAAAGAAGGGGGAGATAGAAAGACCTGGAGTAGACAGGAGCTACACAAGGAGAGCAACAGAACAAAAAATTCTGGGCACACGGGCATTTTCTGAGACTGATACTCCAACCAAGAACCATGCATGGAGATAACCTTAGAACCCCTGCACAGATGTAGCCCATGACAGTTCAGTCTCCAAGTTACCCTAGTAAATGGGAACAGTAATTCTAACATGAATTCAGTTCCTGGCTCTTTGATTTCCTCTCCCTGAGGGGGAAACAGCCTTATCAGGCCTCAGAGGAAGACAATGCAGCCAGTCCTGATGAGACCTGATAAGCTGGGGTCAGAGAGAAGGGGAGGAGAACCTCCCCTATCAGTGTATTTGGGGAGGGGCATGGAAGGAGATAAGGGAGGAAGGGTAGGATTGGGAGGTAATGAGGGAAGAGGCCACAGCAGTGAATAAACTGTAATTAATAAAAAATAAATAAATTAAAAAAAATTTGCAGTTATCCTAATGTTGTACTTCTGAAAAATTTAGGTGAAATAAAATGTTGAAAAGAGAAAATCAGTAAGAACGGTGATCAGAATATTTAAAACACTCAGAGCAGACACTGTGCTCCTGAGGCAGGGGAATCCATTGCATTGCTGGTTTTTCATCAGAAGACAATAGTCTGTCTCTACCTACCTATGTATTTGTGGATCTATGTATCTATCTCTCTGTCTATCTGTCTATTTATCTATTATTTATCTACAATCATCTGTTTATGTATCTAACATTTATCAACTATTTATCTAACTATCTATCTATATATCAACTATATACATCAATCTATCTACCTATCATCTTTTTACCACTAAACTACATATTTGATTACCTACTAATTATAGCAACTTTCATATTAAGAATAAAGTCTGTGAGGGTAAAGCGAAAATAAGAAAGGCTAACCGAGAGAGTAATGCTGTACTTACAGAGAAATAACAGTGATATCTGGAACAAAAGGGGCGTTATTAATTGACCATCAACTGAGGGAAATCTAGAATGAAACAATTAAAAATTGAGAAACCTTTCATGGTCTATGTGGAATAAATGCACTCAAAAGGGAAAAATGTATAGGTATAACACAGGAAAAAGGAAGAAACTAATGCATATAAAGATAAGAGAGCTTAAAATACATATTTGCACACAAATAAATTAAAAATGCAGAATGCAGAGGTATACTTATGAGTGTTATAATTCCAAATGAGAGTAAGAATGAGCAAAACATATTTTAGGGTGTTTACTACTTCAAGAAACTCATTAAGATAACTACATTGGTCAGACAGCCTTTCTCAGAAAAGTAGGTCCTCTTACCTCCAATTCATGGTCCATGGGTAGCAAGCAAAAATGGCTAAGGATATCATTCTTAAAATATAGAAGTTATCCCTAACAGCAGTAGCAAAGTTTGATTTTCCCAGAAGATTCTCTAAGCGAATTTTGCAAAAACTTTTGAATTTTGTGAAAATATAGTGAACAGAACATAGTTCAGTTTTTTCCTGAACTCTCAGAACCCCTCGGGACCTGCAGAAATTACTAACAAGCCCTTAGCTGTCTCTACAGCACCATATCATTTTTAGAAAGGCCAATTTGTCACCACTCTGGGCGATGTGCTATACACAAATATTTCTACTTTATGTTTCTTTTTTAATTTGTCTCCACATAGTCTGTGAACTCTTGAAGTTCTCAGACCATCATCAGGCAGACATAAGACTGTGGAGAACTGGTTTCTATTTCTAACATAAAGTGCAAACTGTTCCAATCAGCTTCAAGGGCTTTCTATCTCATTTTTGGAAGTTTTTATTGAAAAGTGAAAACTGGTTATAACCCTAGATGACCCAACTGATGCAGGTACTTATGGTCAACCTAAAGATGTCAACCAGTCAGCTCTTCGGTTTTTGTGTCATAATTACATAAATTTTGTTTTTCTCATAATTACTATATGTAATTATAAACTGTGCTATGTAATATATATAATTCATCATTTTATTTTCTTATATTAAAGACCAGATACTATCTAAAATGAACTGTCAAAAATTGATAACAGCGATATTATGAATGATACTATATAGATTATGTTGAAATAAATAGCTACAGAAATATTGTGATCTGCAATCTTTATGTATGAATTTGCATGTGTTAGCATGCATTTTTATGTGAATATGTGTTTGTAGGTACATGCTCACTGCATATGTGTGAAAACCAGGGAACAGCATGAATTATCCTGCTCTATCATTTATACCTTATTCACTTAAGACAGGGCCTCTCAGTGAATCTAAAGTTAGGCTAGCAATCACCAAGCCCCACAGATCCTTCTGTCCCCACACGAATCTCCTAGCATTGGCGTTAGTGATATACGTGACCATGACTATATTTTTATGCAGGTCTGAGTATTTGGACTTGGATACTCAAGCTTGAATAGCAAGTACTCTAATGTGCTATGCTATCACCTCAGCCTACTCTAAATCCATTTACAAATGACATATACAATGAATGAATTGAATCAAAATGAGATTAAAGAATAAAATAAGAAAGAATGTATTAGAATTATATAAAATATAATTATATTATAAAATATATTATCTCTATAGAGATAGAAAAAAATTCAGGTATATAAGATATATAACAAATTAAACTGATATTTTCATGAATAATTATAAAAGTAGTAACTAAGGAAAAAGAAAATAACATTAACTTAAACATAATGTATACAGAACATGCATAAGTACCCTAATATCTTTTGAGGGTGTATTAAGAAGATGAAATAGTAATTTTTCAGAGAAACAATTTGGTCAAAATGAGCCTTGATATAAAT